AATCCCTTCATCAAATGCAAGTAGTCAGATTTAAAAAACTGGATTTAAGCTATGTACTTTAAGTCTATTGGCGCAGGTCAAGAAGGAGAAAGTAAGTCTGAACTTGAAAGCAAACTGAGAAAGGTATAGGAAATTAATTGATTTAACGGAACTCTACATTAGCTTGACATGTGTTGCATTTCTCTCTGCCCCCAGTACAAGTTTTTCATCATCTTTGCAACTAACTAAGCCAGTTTGTCAGTTTTGTGGTTTGATAGCAGCCAGTCGATTGAGCTATCTATTAATACCCTTGTGTCTAGCTGAAGACAAATGTGTTAGCCTAAGCAGTGATAGTGACTGTAATTCTTAATGAAATCCTATACAACTTTATCGAAAACTTTGCTTTTACACAGCTGGTAAATGTGAGGACCAGGTGAAGAGAGAAGAGATTTCAGGGCCCAGTGACAAAGGTAAAGAAGAGAACACTATTTGATAAGTCATTCAAGATGTCAAGGCTTTATATCAGTCATTGAAGAATCTATTTTACCTTGGTTATCACTGGGATGATTTATAGTGAAGAATTAGTTCGAGATTAATGACTATATAAAACGCTTAAGTAGAACAAAATCAAACGACGAGTACTGATGTCCTTTTTCTCAAATAAATGAATTTCTTAGGAATCTATAGAAGAAAATAAAGTAATAGCTGACAACTTATTAAAATAAAGGTGTCTACACACCGATCGAAGGTTCTTCAAACTTTAACCAAATTTAAATAATTGGATTAATTCAATCTATTCTAAATCTATTTGAGCAGGTCAAGAAGGAGAAAGTAAGTCTGAGCCTACAGAGTCAACAAAGGAAGGTAATAAGAGTGAATTGCTTTTCAGTAACTTTACGTTGTCCAAAATACGTTGCATTTATTCACGCAAATAGGGCAAAACTGTTTATGAAAATAACAGCTAGCTGGGCCTGTTTTCTAGCTTGATAGCGGGCAGTGGGTTAGATAGTTTTTTATCAAGACTCACGTATCTATTTGACGGCTTATTCTAGCCTATGCAGTGACTGGGGTTGTAATTCTCCATGAGATCTCATTCATAACCTTAAAGGAATCCATATTTCATTCTAATTAACAACTTTGTTGTCACGAAGCTGGTGGAGCTAAGGAGCAGGTGGAGAGTGAACAGATTCCAGTGTCTAGTGATCAAGGTAAAGGAGAGAGTGTGGTTCTTGATTGGTCACTCAGAGTGTTAAGGTGCTATCTCAGCATGGGCCAGGTTTAC